CTACAAGGTCGCCATTACTAACAGATCGCAAAGAATAAGAGCTCCTACGATAAGTTAAAGATCAGACAAATACGACGGGGCCTTACCATTAAGAGATTTATAAACTAAAAGAAGAATCTTAAAAACAATACGATGCCTAATGGGACGCCAATGCAGATCAATTAAAGTCGGAGTAATATGATCGAACTTCCTCGTCTTACAAACTAGACGCGCAGCAGAGTTCTGAACAGATTGTAGTTTTTGCAATAAGGAACTTAGGAAGTCCATAAAGTAGAGAGTTACAATAATAGTCAACTTTAGAGGTGACAAAAGCATGAACAACCATTTCAGTGTTTTGGCGGGTCAGATACTTTCTAATTCTCGAAATATTCCTAAGATGATAAAAAGAGGACTTGCAAAAATAAAAAATATGTGATTTAAAAGACATGGTATCATCGAAGACAACGCCAAGATTGGAAGCGGCTTTCATTGGAGCAACATCAACATCCACAACACACGGAGACAGGACCGCGACGGACAGGAACGATAACTGGAATGGATAACCAATAATTCAGTCTTGTCTTGATTAAGTTTCAATTCATTGAAAACCATCCACCGGCAAATGTCATTAATACAAGCCTCGAGCTGCAGCTGCAGCTCTATATTTTATCAGCAGACCAAATTTCGTACGGAACAAAAACGCTAAAATTGTCGAATGGGGAGAAGATAGAGATTCCAAACGTGGTTAACCTGGACAGTTATTGCTTTAAGGATTGTGGACGTATACCAGCAGTACTTTCAAACCGGTTTCTTTTCCCATGGGAGGTCAACTTTCTTTAGTATTTTAAAGGTACGAATCAAAACATAATCAAGATTCAAAATCAGAAGAAGAGCAAAAGAAGAAAGAAAACTTTTAGGGTTTTTATATTCTTTTAACTCACGTAAATGGTATCACGAAGAAATCATTATATGCATTGTGTCATGTTTTTTAGTTTAAACTACTTCTTCGGCTAGCTTAACTGAAAATTACTTAAGGCAGATTAAGGTGGGGATTTCAAAGAGCAAAAGCTCTGGATGAGAAAAACAGAGAAATATGAACACGAAGAAAAAAATATAACAAAATGTCATTATATGAGCACGATCCTTCGCAGTAAAGCACTATTAGAGCAATAGTGAAAATCAGACCTGAAAAAAATTTCAGGCCTGTACGGGATTCGAACCACTGACGGATCGTGCATATATACGTTTCATAACCGCAGTTCACACATATGTTTCATATGTTTGTTGTTGTTTAAAATGTCATTATTGTATAAATTTGTGCAACATCACAAAAGCAGTCTCTCGCAGGACTTGACAACATCGCTACAGAGAGATCGCAAGTCTTCGATACACTCGAAGACGTAGTAAACAGGCCAGGGAAGTTAGGCAAGCTCAGATTAATTTTTGTCCCCGAGAGGCCTGTATCTTCCCATTTTGTTTCTATATAATGCTATTTTTCAGTGTACCTTTAACACTTAAACTGCCCAACCTTCTAGGCCGATTTAATTTTTCGAATTTTTATTTCTTCTTTAAGGTTTGTCGAGACCATTTTTTTAAAGGATATATTTTTGCAATTTTAACAAACGCCTGGCCTCTTAAAGCAATTGAGCATGTATGAGAGGCTTTATCTTAAATATCTGTAAATAAAAGAAAATGAGTGGTAAGTAATTAGTATGCCTTTTTAAAGATAAATGATCAGCCTGGGTTCACGATGTTAAAGATCGCTTGAAAGCTGGCAAAGCTGGTAAAAACTACGTTAAAACAAACTTCCAGATCCACGTTACTGAAGAAAGCCAGCGTGCTGATCATTGCCGGATATTTGCGTTTACGTCTGACCCTGAAGATCATCACTGCAAGCATGAACACACAAAATCATGTCAAAGCTGCGACAATATCCAGAATGTTCTTGATGAATTAGAACTGGTATTGTCATCAAGCGGAGACCTTCACTTTAGGTGAACGATTACTGATACCATGTTCCTACAGTCTTCCTCTTTCAAAACCACTGAGAAAACGTCGATTATGTAAACTTACTTCCTAACAAGTCGTTTTCGTCGACTTAGAAAGATTAGTAAGGTATTTAAATTGTAGTCAAAACCAAAGAAAGAAGAACTGGCTTGCTGTTGCATCTATTTATGAGCACACGCTTACGGAAATAAAGAGGAAGTCACCTGAAATTTTCGAGGCCTTTGCACGTCATGTAGTGGTAACGCTGGATGTTATCACTGTGCTCTTTTATTGCTAAGTATTCATTGGTATCGGTCAACGTACAGGTGTAACTACAAGCCGATACGACTTCAGTGAGTCAAATAGTGGCAAAGATATATGCGATCACCATATTTCTCCTTTGAAAAGTCATATACCCCAGTGCGTCAATGCAGGAAATGATGTTGAGAAGACAGAAAATATGAAGAAAGCAATAGATTCTTACTCCGGAGTTAGAATTTGCCGTGCAGCAGTTGTAAAGGTGGACACTAGCGCACAGGATCTGCATAATTCAAAGGTGGAGAAGGAAAGTTCGTTCGTTACGAAAAGCTGATGAAGAGGGGGACCAGCCAGGGAAGTATCCGATTGGAGTTCATTGAACCGTTCACATCTTCGCATGTGTCAACTGGCTTTTTGTAAAAAAATAGCAAATCCAAGGAAAACAAAAGCGAACATTATGAATTCAGTTGCTCTCAACCAGGTTGTATCAAGTTATTCAAAACGACCGCAGCTTTGCAAAACCACCAGGACTTTGGGAAGCACATTTTTCAAACTCGAAAGGATTCCATGCATGACAGTATTAAGCGTAAATGGGCTAAAGCATGCACCAACATACGGCTTTCGCATATTCCATGTAAAAAAGAACCTTGAATGATTGAGCCAAGAAGAGTGCAGAGAGTACCCCACCGCTGAGCCTGGTTGGGCCTTGAAGAAAAATAAGAAGACCGGGCGATTTTCAGAATATGTCAAAGAGTACCCCCTTAAACTGTTCTCGATGGATAAGAGAGAGGAAATAAGAGCGGCCCTGCCGTTGTTGCCTCAAACTTGAAGTCACTTCGTGGACCAGATGGCGCGTAATTGTTTTCTTTTAAAGACTGGCTCAGCGTGCAACAAGTTACATCATACTTTTCACGTCTCGCATCGGTCGCTTAGAGTGGGAAGCTTTCTTTAAAAAAGAATACTGTGTTAGTGGAAGAAGATATATTCGATGCCCTTGTTGAGAGAGGAGAACGAGAGTCCATGCGAGAGAAAATTTTTCAGGTTGTGGACTTATAGAAGGAACTTTCAGACCATTGGGAAAAAGATGGAGCGGAGCTAATAAGCCAGCTAAAGCGGAAATACCTGTTGCCAATGCTCGTTATCACGCGTGCTCTCCAAGGGCACTTCATAAGAATAGCCACATTTTTCTGAAAAATGTTTGTTAAAGACTTAAATTTCGTCCCATCTCCACACACGGGGCTCTCCTACCAATTTTCAGATCTATTTCTTTCTACGCTATGTGATATTGGAAGATGTCTTGGCTCTTAATCATTGTATACAACGAAGAGCTCTTTGTATCACCTTATAATGCTATAAAATAGATTTAAGAAAAGCTTACCTTTTGCCAGACAAAGCAAAAATACGAAATTTGTAAATGACATCAAAGCAAACCATCTTCGAAAGCATCAAGCAAAAGAACACTTTTTGTTGATTACACAAATCACTTTTTTACCGCAGGTCAGTTTCTCATTGCAGGCGCATAAGGCAATATGGCGGATGAAAGTGAAAGAGTTGTGGTTGAGTTATGGCCGTTCTGTCGTAATCTTTATGTTGTCAATTTAAATATCAAAATGGACATTAGAGTACTGGCCTTCTCAAGAACACCAAATCTGAGAAATAAGTCGCAGCATGTGTTTCATCGCAGCACTCAGTCTTTCCGAACGGCAACGGAATCTGCACTTTTGTACGGTTTCATGGCTGATATAATCCCGTGGAAACATAACAATGTACAGAGGAGGTTAGAATCTCCTATTGGGAAGTTTTTCTTGCAATTTATTTCAAATTACCCGGGAAATGTAACTAATCGTCTTGAATTGTAATATTATCCTAAGTCAGTAACACGATCGGTGAGCAACTGGTGACCAGTAAAACCTCCGTATTTCTCTCAAACAATTGCGATACCCAGAAGTTTTTTATAGCAGAGGAAAAGACAATACCTCTGCGTAAAGTATCAAGTATTTCACTTTACTTGAAGCTCTGCGTGAACTTTTTTTTGAAAACTCAAGAAATTTGCATAATTTTTACTTATTAGCATATGTCATGTTAAATAATGCTATGGAAAATGTAATAAAGAAGAGTCACACTAATTATGTTGTTATTGTTTAAGAGTGTATACATGGTAATTTGTGAGAATTTTGTTTCACCTGGATTGCAGTACAATTTGCCAGAAATTTTGTCATTGAAAAAAACACAAAATTTGAACATATTTTAGTGTAGATTTGGCTGTTCAAGGGTACCCCCCTGAAAAAAAAAAAAGAAAGAAGCTTGAACAAAACTAATACCATATCTACCAATACTTCACCAAGTTATGCCTATGTGGAAAGTTTGAGCTAATTCTGTGATGTGCACTGTAGCACCTTTTGCATGGTTTTCTCATGGATAGCCTCTTAACACAAATATATATATATATATATATATATATGAAACCAAAAACAAAACAAAAAACAAAAACAAACAAAAAAGAATAAAAACAAAACAAAAACAAAACAAAAAACCCAAGCAAACAGCAACAACGTTTGTATGAACTTGCTGGGGATAAAAATGATGCTGGTGAATGCTACGTCACATGTTACCTTTTAAAAATCACGACAGCAGGCGTTTTCGTAAGAATGTTTTTGTGATTACTCGAGATCATCCCTAAAGGCATCGGTCCGTGTTCTGCATGTCGTTCACTTACATAGGTCCTACATACACCTTATCTGAACAGTTTACAAGCAAATCCATAGTCTACACATGTATTGTACACTCAAATCAATCATTGTTTCATGATCAATTAAGGTCCCTTAATTAGGCTCAACCTAAAGAGTCAAATTACAGGAGAGAGCTCAAAATGTTTTAAAATTAACTTGTACAGTATAGTTCGTAGAGCTAGCTAAGAGGTCAACAGATTTCTAAGCTCAAATTGCTATTGTTGTTGTTTGTTTGTTTGTTACTTTTGTTTGGGGGGGGGGGAGGGTGTGGACTTCATCGTGAACAGCGTTCAATAGCATACACGTACTTATCACCTTTAAGTGACTGGGTGTTAGATACTTTCCAGTTAGCTTATTGCCATAATTTTCTAGGTCCAAAAAACTGGCAGTTTTTCCTTCTCAGTCAAACTATTCTGTCTGTAAGCTATGATTTACGCCCTAGGTCGAGTTTTGCTTGACTTTTACTATGAGCGTCAAAACGTTGATATTTAGTCTCTCATCATGAAATTCATTTTCCTTCTTTCCATGTGAGTGCATCGCATGACTTTAACCTCAAAATGATGTAATGATTCTTTTAGAATCCAGTTCAAAGGTTTATCTTTCCTTAGCCCCTAACGCTTCTTCTTCTTTTTCTTTTCTGTAGACTTGGCAAGTTTCCCTTCACTTTTTCGTTTCTCAGACTTCTTTGATTCTGGAAGGAAAAAAAGGGAAATTGGCCACAACCGTCAAGGGCACGTAAGTGCAAAAAATAGTGCAGTTTTGCAGTATGTCGAGATAAACAGTTGCTGATATGAAACATTTGTTCCTTAGCAGCTCTACAGTAAGTAAACTTGATCGTAAAACTCGAGTCCCTCTCTTGTTTTTCAAGACCTTGATCGGAGAAGAACCATAAATCATAGGCACCAAAAAATCATAAATCATACCATAAATCAAATGCAATCAAACAATGACAATAGCAATGGCATTGATAATGATGATAACGGACTTGGTTAACATATTTACAAACATAATTACACAAAAACCCTGAAATAAAATCTTGCTCACCTCCTTTTTGAGGGGGTTCCTCTTCCTTATGTGATGCCTCGGGAGTCTTGCCTTTACCTCCAAGCAAATATAAAAACACATGAACATGTAAATGCAAAAACACCCTACTTTGAACTGGAGAAAAGTATCTCATTTTCTTGTCTCAACGTCAATTGGCTCTCTTCATCTGAAGCTAGAGATTCCTTTACATTTCTGATCCGAGCAGGCCAAGACAGGGCTACTTATCATAAACACAAAGAATCCAAAACTTGTCACCATTTTGAAGTAAACACAAGGTCTATAGGTGGAGTCTTACTTGCATATCCTTCACTGCTGGAGGCTACAGTATACCCAGTTTGATCAGAATGAAGCAATTACAGGTAGGAGAATTGCTTCGCCCCCAACATGGGGGACTAACAAATTAATCATGAATGGGACAAACAAAGAAAAAACAATATGCAAACCAACAAAAACCAAACCTAAAAAAAAGGACTGAACATGACCCAAAAATACATTAAATTTAAAATCAGAGATGTGAACAAATTGGAAAATAAAACATCTGTCCAACATTTTTTGTTTGTTCGTTTTGTTTGTGTATTGTGTTTGTCTCTTGCTTGTTTTTGTTGTTTGTATTCATATATTTTTCTTTTGTTAATTGGCATTTTTCCAGACCATTATGTAGTTTTTAAAAAATAAATAGAATATGCATAAAAAATCTCAATTCAAACACTGCATTAACAAAGAAATTTTCGCAACTTTCACTAGCAGGACACAGATATACAGCCAATAATGTCATGAACCTTTCCAGAATAAAGCTAATAAATTTTGGTATCTTTATAACTAAATAAATGTAAAGAATACAAAACAGTCAAATTGCTTACCAGCATCTGGTTGCCATAAGGCACTCTTGACAAATCTCTTTGCAGCACCTTTGTCTAGCCTTAGAGATGCTAATAAAAGAAATGCAGTGACGTAAATAATCATACACATGTATATCAATGCACGTACAAAAGATACATATGCTTTCAACCTGTGGTTTATTAAGAACAGTAATATTAAGACTCACAGCAAAAGCAAATAAAAGTTCTTGGAGTTTTCAATCATTAAAGCTCACTCTATATATTTACTATTACAGGGTACTCCCTTATTTTGTTACCTGGTTTAAATATGTGTTTGTTGCCTCCAACCTACCCCAAATGAATTGTTCATTTTTTTGCCATCTAACCCTGTGGCTGAAATTCAACATTTTTTTCCTTCACTTGGTAGCTAGGGAAGGAGGGGGAGGCATGTAAAACTGAATAAAAACTTCTGAAATCAAATGAAATTTGCATGTACCATTTCATTTAGGGTCTAAAAGACAAGTACTTTTCTAAGAAGTCAATTTTATTGGTTTATTTATTCATATTTCATTTTTGTTTTTTGGCAAGGGGCTTCACTTTCATTTTACGGACTGAGTTCTAAGATATAGTCAAAGATCCTGGAAACCTTTCTCTCTCCCTTTCTCTCTCAATTAGAGCATAAACACATTCAGGATCAGTTAACTTTTTTATGCACTTATACTTATTCTGAAGTGCTCTATGTTGAAATGGGAAAACAAAAGTGACAAGTTTGTACCTTCTTTCTTTTCTGTAGCTTCTTTCACTTTACCCATGTATTTCTTTATCCTATCCTGAAATGAAGAAAATGAAGGTAAATACATTTAAATGTACTGTGTGTGGAAAACAGATATTTTCAGTGCTTTCACCATCTATAGGTGTGCTATTACAATGCCACAATGTGTGCAGAATACTGTAATGCATTACATTTATGCGTACATGGCTGTGCAAGTGTATTTATAAGGAGTCCTGAAACAGCAGATAAAAATATTGAAAAAATTGCATGTCTTAAAAGTGTTTGTTATCAAAAACAGTTTACAAACCAGTTCAGATTTCACAGGATGTTGCCTTGGATTTACTCCTTGGGTTGTCAAGTACACTGTCGATGAACAACAAAATCGATATGGATACATCATAATGCACTGCATTGTACAGTCAAATCCCTCTAACTCCAACCCTTGACGATATGAACCTTGCACTAACTCAAACCAAAATCAATTTCCCCTGGATTTCTGCCATACATTTATTAAAATTTTACCATCACCAACTTGCACCCTCCACAACTCAAACCTCATTCACTCATAGCAATTTTCCTTTTTCCTACGGGTCATTCTCCATACATTTTTACCTTCAATACCTTAAATCGTGTCTGTCTAACAGTGTATTGCTACCCAAAACATTTACAATTATGCTGTGATTTTTGCAGTAATTTAATATTCCATTTTCACTCAACTTCTCTGATTAAGTTCGATTATAATGTATACTGTATGAATAGAACAACACAGTAAACACAGTTTTTCTCTTATTCACAGTCTTCAACTTTTAACTTCCAATAACTTAAATCTCTCTCAATTTCCCTTACTGGTTCAAGTTATTGGGATTAATCTGTGGTTTATTCTCAACTTCCCTTTATGAATAATTTGCAAATCTAGAGAGGTGAGACATGACACCACTCCAACAAACATGTTGATACAGGTTACTGTGTATATTAGCCATTATACCCTTGAGCAGGTACTGGTAATAATTAGTAAATAATACACATTAATGAGCAATGGAATGTACAATGTAGATATTTCTGTGGATAGACATATTTTGTTTTTATACAACCTTGCGCAGGGTACTTACTCCAGAACATAGAATTAATGGAATATGCAACAACTAAATCCAGCTTTGCACTTTGTAAGGGATCCATCTGGAAAGAAATGCATCAAAACAGGTATGTATATGTTATGCAGTAAATGGTTTGAACCCGGGGGTAACATGTGAAGGTGTAGTCTGATCGTCCGGGTGAGTGTAGTCCTGAGAAGGACTGTTGTCGGTGGCAGTGACTGACGTTTCGACAACCTGTGCGGAAGTCATCATCAGAGTCAAGTGAATGATTGTTGTCAGTAGAATGTTCTTATTCCAGTTCGTGTGAAATGATCGGTTGGTTTTGCCGTGATGTTATTGGCTGTAAGACTCAAGTGACGTAAGTCGTTCGTGATTGGTCTGTTTCGGTCTGTCGGTAAAGCTAGGTTGTTCTTTTTCGGTCGTTTGTGATGTTTATGTCGTGAATGAGTCGTTTGTATGGGGCGGGTAGTTGTTGACATCTGTTTAGGGGAGTCTGTTCTAAGTTAGTAAACCAGCTTTCCAGAGTCAGTCGTTGAAAATAGTCAGTGCTGTAGGTTAGGCATTGCGCAGAGTCCCAGTCAATGTTGTGGTTGGTAAGTCGATGGTGTTCAGCAATGTGATTGCTGACATCACCTTTCCTCGTCGCCCGTCTGTGTTCAGTCAGTCTTGTTGTGAGGTTTCTGCCAGTCTCACCGATGTAGGAGGCTTGGCAGTCGGATCATTAGTTACATCTATGGTGGTTATTCCTATTTAATAGAAAAAAAATGCAAACTATTGTTAATTAGAATCGTTTTCATATGTATGACGCGGCGATCTTTTCTTAACAGCCAGAGATGCCTGAAATATGAAATAATTATGGAATGCGGAATCCGGAATCCGAAATCCGGAACAACGAGAGAAATTTAAGAAGTTTCGAAAGTTATACATGTTATTTTCAATGACTGGGAACATCACCCAGATCATTTCACACGAACTGGAATAAGAACATTCTACTGACAACAATCACTCACTTGACTCTGATGATGACTTCCGCACAGGTTGTCGAAACGTCAGTCACTGCCACCGACAACAGTCCTTCTCAGGACTACACTCACCCGGACGATCAGACTACACCTTCATATGTATATGTTGTAGTTCAATTTTATCCTTGGTTCAAATTGTATTTTCCTTTGTTTCAAACAAAAATAAAAATTTGAACCAAGGATAAAATTGAACTACAACATTATACTTTCATGTAAAAAATAAAAATATTGTCTGATAATCAAATATTTTGTTTCTTCCAATATGAGCCTTGCAAACAGCAGGTTAACCAAAACTGGGTGATGTTCCCAGTCATTGAAAATAACATGTATAACTTTCGAAACTTCTTAAATTTCTCTCGTTGTTCCGGATTTCGGATTCCGGATTCCGCATTCCATAATTATTTCATATTTCAGGCATCTCTGGCTGTTAAGAAAAGATCGCCGCGTCATACATATGAAAACGATTCTAATTAACAATAGTTTGCATTTTTTTTCTATTAAATAGGAATAACCACCATAGATGTAACTAAGAGTTATTCCTGTTCATATAAAGCACATGGTGCTTACAGCAAATCTGAACACACGTTTACAGTTTTAGACAAATCTAGGGAATCACTAAACCTTTTCCTTCAAGTCATCAACTGAAGTCTCCAGAAGGGGCTTGAATGTATCTTCAACTTTTCCCAAAGCCTCGTGGAACGTTTCCAGCGACTCAGTGACTTCTTCGGGTAATTCGGGTTCTTCACTAATTTGGGCCGCCATATTTAAAATTACTCTGACCGCGACCTGACTGGGTTGGAAACTTTGATAACGAGGCTGTATTTTTATGGTGTTAGCCTTCTACGCAGACGTTCATTTGGCTCATCACGCAATCTTCCTCGCGCACGAACGTGGGATTATATAGGATTATTAATTCTTCAGATGACATGAAGTCCTTTCAGAGTGACTTGGATAAGATTGCTGATTGGTGTAAGGATAATAAAATGAAAATAAACACAAAGAAATGTAAGTTCATGAGAATTACCACGTAAAAGAGTCCTTTAGTTGGGACTATTACCTAGACGGTCAGAGCCTAGAAAGTGTACATATACACAGGGATTTAGGTCTTGTCACCAGCTCCAATTTATCATGGAACGCACACGTAGATTCTGTATGTGCTAAGGCTAATAACATTCTTGGTCTGGTGAAAAGAACATGTAGAGATTTGAAAGATATCAATCACTACACTGAAAACGTTATACTGCAGTCTTGTCAGACCCCTGCTCGAGTATTCATGTGAAACCTGGAATCTTCATACACAACGCAATATCAATAAAATTGAGGCAATTAAGAGAAGGGAAACTAAGTTTATTCTTAAATCTGATGAGGATTAAGATGTTAGATTAAAGAAATTAAAATCACATAGTTTATTTCGTAGAAGATACATCAGGGATGTTTTTTTATTCAATTTAATGAATGGACATTATGATATGGATATTTCTGATAAGTTGCTTTTCTGTAAAGATTGTAGTGTAGATTATAACTTAAGGAAGAATGATTCTCTTGACCTAGTCAGCATGTACAGTAGAACAAATATTTTTAAATATAGCTTTTTTATCCGTGTTGTGAATGAATGGAACAGTCTTCCAAATAATATAAAGGATTCTGCTAGTATTTCTACCCTTAAACATAAAGTTACTTAATTCCTTGGCAATACTTAGAGTTTTTAGATTTGATTCAATGTAATACTTTGATATCAAACTCTATACTATAATAACTGTTTTTTAATACTATATCTTGCTGCGGAGCATCCCTTGTATGGTGTCTAGGACGCTTTTGGATGCTGCCTCTCCATCATCATTATTTATTTATTCTGTTTGTGTTTATGTCTATGTATTTATTGATGCATCTATTTAGTAATTTAATTCAATCTAGATTTGGAGAAACTGTAATAAATAACTAAATAAATAAAAGACTAAACATCACCATTCTTCCACAAACCGTGATCCTACATTGTCATGCTCAGACTGGATTTAGGTGGAAAGACCACGATCTTTATCAAACTCATGTTAGACATGACCATGGAAACGATTCCTACAGATGTATTTATGTAGACACTGTTTCACCATCCACCTTGGCTGCCAAGGATATTACTGAAGCTATCTGCGGACTGGAAGATATGGTCAAACAGCCAAGAAAAACTCACGAGAATTAAACTGTATTTTTTAGTATATGTCAAATACAGTAACAACAACAACTTTATTTGCACCCTACATTAATTTACATGATACAAAAAGATATTACATACAAAATAGAAAAAGTACAGGCTACCCAAAATAACCATTGAGATCTGTTCAATTAGTCTTTACAACTGTTTTGTTAATCCTTTAGTAAGCTGGTTTTTAGAAAGTTGCAAAAGTTGTTTTTCAATTACATGCAATTTAAAAATATTTCTTTGAAAAAGCAATGGGTTATTACATTTTAGTAAAGCTTCTGCATTAGCTGGGAAAAACATGCAAATTAGAGCAGAAAATGGTACAATTAATTTTGTGAATAAGTCGTACCAAAGAGGCAATCACATTCACAAGATCACCAGTGATTTCAAAATGGATGTAGTACATACATATTATCATTACTGTTAATATTATTTTATTTTATTCATAAATTAACAGTTTTTGCCTTTGATGTGTTTTCTTTTAATTAGTAATTCTCCAAACCAGAATTAGTTCAAAACATGTTTACATCTGAAAGCACAGCCATTCTAGTGTTAAAGGGTGAAAGTTTCGAAAGAAACTGTGGTGCTGCGTCGGTGGGGGTAACAAGGTAATTTGGTTACATCAACTAAGTTCAAATTGTAAATTGGCCAACCTAATGAGTTAACAGCTGGTGTTTCGAGCATTAGCCCTTCATTAGAGCGAAGGGCTAACACTTGAAACATCAGCTTTTTAATTTGTTACGGCAGCCAATTTACAATGTCAACTTAGTTGACATAACCAAAATATTTTAGTGTTACTCTTGTCTCCTTAGACTCCTTTAAAAGCAAAGTTAACCCTTAGACACCCAGGAGTGATTAGCATCAAATTTCTCCTCACACTATCACTCCTGAATTACATATCTAGGTTATAAGAATGAAGGAAATGATCAGTAGCTGAGGAAGCTTCTGATTGTAAAACAACTTCTCCCTGTCAGCTCCTTACAAAATGTAAAGGGAACAATAATTATGGAGAACATGCATACTCTCTTGATGTTAGAGTGTAAAGGGTCAATGTATGAAATACAATGAAAAAAATAAATAAATAAAATATATATATATATACATTTATGTACAAGTCTCTTTCGTATCTTTGATTGAGTGATGTTTAGCTACAGAACTGCTTCAGAACCGGAAGACTAGTTTGAACATTGAGAGACTGGGCATAAGTTAAATATAATTATGATGTTCCTACAGAGATAAATGTTTATCTTCTAGGACTGCTTAATACAGAGTAAAACACCCCAGGCAACAATGATCTGATTCAAACGCCTAATCTTTAAAATCGATGAGAGCTATCGATTTTTGCATCGAATCATTTAAAGAGGCATTAAAAGCAATGTTTCAAATTTAAAGTCAAATAAAGTAGCAGCGCGCTTGATCCTTGTAAAAGATCGCGGCTGACTTAACGCGGCCGCCCTTTATCGTTTCCAAATCTCTTTGTTAAATTAAACTAAAGAAACGAACAACAAGGAGCTCTATCAAGCACAGCGGTTAGAGGACCCTCAATCAATTAAAATTCTTAAAAATTAACCGTAACGATAAAGTTTCGATCGCACTATAAATTATACCATTACAGCTCCTGTGAAACCAAAACAATTCCCAATTTTTCGCCTTCATATCGTCTAATGAGGTCTACAAAGGAGCCTGAATACTCTTTCAGCTTTTCCCGAAGCGTTACGGATCGATTCCATCGCCTTTATGACTTTTTCAGGTTATTCTTGCTAGTTCTCTCTCAATATTTGGCCACTACATTGAAAAAGACCTTGTCCGCGCGGTGACTGGGCAACAATGTTTGAAAACGAGGCTCAGAGGGAAAGCTTTCAGCATTGGGTCTATTTTCAGCTCTCTGAGCTGTCAAAATGTGCCATGTTGGCACAGACTGAGTATTCAGAAGTTGGGTTTTCAGTTACAGCACGCCATGAAAAATGGAATAAAAGCGCTGTATTTCAGTTGTGTATTCCAGTATCGCCAAACAGAAGCTGAGAAAAAAAAGAAACTTACAGAGAAGCTATGGGAATCACACTTTCTCAATTTTTTAGTCGAATGGGTGAGCTCTACCATTCTTTCTCCAATCGCGAGGCTCGTGTTCTCATGGTTGGATTGGATGCAGCAGGAAAGACCACCGTTTTATACAAACTCAAGTTGAACGAGACGGTGACAACGATTCCTACTATTGGATTTAACGTAGAAAGTGTTTCACCCTGCAAGGGGCTTAAATTTACGGTCTGGGATTTTGGTGGCCAAGAGAAGCTCCGACCACTTTGGCGCCACTATTTCCAGAACACCCAGGGGTTGATTTATGTCGTGGATAGCTCCGATCTGGAAAGAATCCTTGAGGCCAGGCGAGAGCTCTTCGGAGTTCTCGACAGTCCAGAGATGGAGGGCGTACCTGTGGTTGTCATTGCTAACAAGCAGGATCTCCCACGAGCGCTAAGGTCGCACGATTTGGCTCAGCAGTTGGCTCTGGTGCAACACAAAGCAAACCCGTGGCACGTGCAAGAGGCATGCGCTACAACTGGTGAGGGCATTTATGAAGCTATGTACAAACTGAGTGATATGGTAAAGGAGTTTGAGAAGAGCTCAAGAAAATACTGATTATATTGGTCATGGGTGATTTGCAATTCAAGAGACAGTGCCTTGACTTCACCCTTGTGTCTTTCTTAATTCGGAGAATAGATGTAAATTTTTAGCATATATATAGATATGTCTTTTTATTTTTTTTTATTTTTATACTTTGATGTTCCAATAGTTTGTAAGATTGTTTTTCCAGTTCGATATATTTCATTTTGTTAACGATAACCAATGTCACAGTCTCAAGTTTACCGGAGACTGGGGGAAAGAGCGAAAAAAAATTGAATGAATGATATAAACTAACCAACAGAAAAACAACGGAGGTGGATTTACGATATTCATATTGTATGATATGTCCGGGCCTTGTGCCTTTGTTTCATTATTGCTAAGAACATTTTGATGTTTATGTATTTTATTTATCAGTTTTATACCGCAGTTCACCTGCTCCGCCGATTTGAGACTTTCGCATATGTGCCACATTGAGATTACTTTCATGGGCACTGTATTACAATTTATAAATCATTTTATCCTATGCTTAAGCTTGTTAGACAATGAAATGAGTTTGCTAAACTCTCAACTTCGTATCATCTTAGTTGATCTTCGAATTACAAATTCGAAGGCGGCCATCCTCAACTGAAATTCTACAAAATCAACTCAAATTCAGCCTGGATTACGTTAAAATGTGCAGTTTATCTCTAATAATGGGAAATAGAAAAATTCTCACAAAAAAGGTCCTGTAGTTTGATGTTTGAGAAGCAAGTTTTCTGTTCAAAATTCTTTCGGTCGGAGGAAACAGATGCACCTATTTAAAGGACCCCGACCCCAGCTCAGCCCTCCACTTCTCCTTTCTTCCCTCATATAAGAATATACATTTATACATATACATATACATATACATATACATATACATTTAAGTGTGTTCTAGGAAAACCTTCACACCTTTTAAAAATGTTTTATACCCCGTTTAACTAAATAAACTTTTTTAACAATTTGAGGCGAGCATAGTCCCCTCTATTAACTATGAGGCTAGTTAGTAACCTTGTAGATCTCGACTTTCCATGATTGTAGTTTTCAAAGGAACTGATCTCCGCTGTTAAGGCTTACTTGGGTTCGGTATGCCTGACGACAAAAAATTATTTGATTCTCGGCTAAAGGAACTTAAGAATGATGTAAGAAATAACAGAAATAGATGTTTACTTCAATGAAACACTTCCTCGATGCTCCCTGGCCACAAAACTTCAGCAATGAGGATCCTTTCAATAACATCTCATTGCAACGTATGATGGACGATTCTCGCAGTAGATAGCGCTATTTAAGCAATAGCGAAAATCAGACCTGAAAAAAATCAGGCCTGTACGGGATTCGAACCACTGACCTCTGCGATACTAGTGCAGGGCTCTACCAATTGAGCTAACAAGCCTGATTTTTAATTCAGGTCTGATTTTCGCTATTGTTTAAATAGCGCTATCTACTGCGAGGATCGTGCATCATACGTATCTAATACCGCAGTTCAAAATATATGAACTTCATATATTTCATTGTATCTGATCTCATTGCAAGTTGGAACCCCAATTTAGAATATAGAAACATCAAAATTAATCATTCACCCTGATTACGCCATTTAATAACCGTGCTAGAGATGAAGTTGAATTTAAACTAAGGCCATCAGCCTGGATAAATAATTTTCCTTTTATTTATTTTTTTTCCCTTTCATTTTTAGCTCTGTTAAGGATTTTCAGTCTTGGCCAGTCAGGTACGTTTACTATTTAGTTGCATGCTTCAAAACAAAATCTTTGTATTGTTATGATCATAAAGATATTTTTGAAAATCAACGGCTATTTTACACTTTATTTAGTGAATGGCATGATCGAATCTGATTGAACATCGAAACTGACCTCAATTAAATCTCTGATATAAAAGGGTAAAGATTATCAGATGGACTAAAGATTGACAATCACTTAGGCTCTGACATCACAAGGCGAACCTTTCATTTTCGTAAGTAGTCATCTTTAGATAAACGATGGAGTTTAATGATAGTGGGGAAAGGTGTAACTTACAAAACTAAAACGCTTAACACATTCTTAGTGTCACCATCTTGTGTAAGCTGGTGATACATGGCTGCAGTGGTAAAACGCAAAATAGTGCGATAGTAAAGGACATAATCGCCATATAAGTCCTGCTGTTTTCCCCGTGAAACCAATCATAACAAAGAGACTATAAACCGTAACAAAGAGACTATCAACCGTAGCAACGACACCCGTCCTGCGGTGTTGAGACAACTTTGACGTCCTTGTAGTACATTAGCGAGAGATGGAAAAGCAACATACCATGCCATAAGTGAAGCATTAAGTTGGTAACAGCTTTTTAAAACGTTGGCCTTAGCTGTCTATCCTTTGTTATTATCATTTGCTTCTTTTGATGTATTAGAACTGCTACCAGGATCATGTTATTGAAAAAATCAAATGTAATAAAATACTATAAGTTCCCTGCGTTTCTTTTGAACTTTATTTGATGTGGCATTCTTCCGTATATCTTGTTTGTTATTTTTTATTTTTTTTATTTTTTTTTTATCTTTTGGGTTCGAAAACAACTAAAGAAAACAAAACGAAGCAAGACAAAACTGTGTTAAACAACAGCCAGTGTAAGGAAGACAGAACATGTGGTCTTACAAGGCGAAAAATTTTGTTTTCTGAGCCAAATGTTCAACCGCTGAAAATGGCGGAAAAATTGAAGGGAGCAAAGAAGGAGCGGAGAGAAAATACAAAGGGTAAAGACAAGTAAGCATCCATGATGGCCGATGAAAGTCTCTCTAAATCAACAAAAGCTGCTTCAGTGTTAGCAGAGAACCTGCAGCTGGATGCGACGACCATGGGAAGGGTAATTTGTTTACTCGATCAAGACAACACCGTACCATTCATAGCTCGATATCGCAAGGAAGAAACTGGAGGACTGGATCCTTCCAAACTCAGGCAAATAAAGGAGCAGTATGAACATTTTAAGTAAGTGAATATCTTAATTAGGCTTTTTCTGCCGTTTGTTTTGGCCTCAGTATACGCGAGGAGTCACACAACAGCCTTGCGTAATTCCACGTGGGGCAAGGGGCGTTTTCAAGGGAAGCAGGAGGAGGGGGGACTGTAAGGGCTGGGTTTGTGAAGTGTAGGGGGATTTTTGATGCGGGCATGGTATGGCGCAAGTTTATTGACTCTTTACACCCAAACGTCAGTATAAATATTCTCCATACTGTTTTTGATACATTTCCTAAGATGCTGACAACTAGGAGAATAGTTTGAGTATGTACAATATCCGAGCCAGCAGGCCATGCGAGCCATGCGGGTCAACAACTCAATTTTTTTGTAAAATTTTCATTTCAAGTTACATTTCAAAGACTTCTCAGTACAGGTGGCCCAAGCTCTGTCACAGGCTCTTTTACAGTGAATAGTTAAAGAGTTTGTATAGTGGTTTCGTTGGACTTGCTTTTGAGCTCCGTAAATGTAAAGTTGTGTGAAATAATGAAAGAAATAAAGTCTTACCTTCATGGAGAGTAGTCTGTGTTGTTCTCCTTGCGATTTGAGGCTGTTTTGATGTGTTTTAGCTTGACGCCCTAAATCACCGTGCACAAAATACGGGAAGGTTGAAAACTTCTGTTGACACATGCTTGCCGAAATCTAACACCAACTCTTCACATATACTAAGGTACCCCAGGTAAGAGGATATTTGTAAAAATCCATTGAAAACAGTGAAGATGGACAGTATCGACGATCTAGTCAAGTCAATGAGTATACGGGTCCTCCCCGTAGAAGAATATGGGGAGGACCCGTTGAGAGAGATTTGACTAGGGTCCAGGTTGACCGCACATNTGTTACTAACCAACGTTAAAGACAAAGACGAACCGAGGAACAGACAGGGAACGATTTATAAGATCAATTGTTCCGACTGCCAAGCCTCCTACATCGGTGAGACTGGCAGAAACCTCACAACAAGACTGACTGAACACAGACGGGCGACGAGGAAAGGTGATGTCAGCAATCACATTGCTGAACACCATCGACTTACCAACCACAACATTGACTGGGACTCTGCGCAATGCCTAACCTACAGCACTGACTATTTTCAACGACTGACTCTGGAAAGCTGGTTTACTAACTTAGAACAGACTCCCCTAAACAGATGTCAACAACTACCCGCTCCATACAAACGACTCATTCACGACATAAACATCACAAACGACCGAAAAAGAACGACCTAACTTTACCGACAGATCGAAACAGACCAATCACGACCGACTTACGTCACTTGAGTCTTACAGCCAATAACATCACGGCAAAACCAACCGATCATTTCACACGAACTGGAATAAGAACATTCTACTGACAACAATCATTCACTTGACTCTGATGATGACTTCCGCACAGGTTGTCGAAACGTCAGTCACTACCACCGACAACAGTCCTTCTCAGGACTACACTCACCCGGACGATCAGACTACACCTTCACATGTTACCCCCGGGTTCAAGCCATTTACTGCATTTGTTACCATCTGTTTGAAATGTTAATTTCTGTATGAAGTAAGATTACTTCTACGCTTAGAGAATGCTTTTTCGTTGTGGTAAGCACGTTGCAATAGGTGGTTTAAATTAAAACCACACGTGTTCCAAAATTACGCATCACACATTCCAAAATACTTATTAGTGTGTTTTCCTACGGGCATGAACACCCGCGTCACAGTATAACGCCTTCGTAAGAACAACGCCACTCTTCGGGCTCACATGGGCATTCCTCAGGTTCCACGACTTGTTTACACCTTAAATCTGAAGAAAAGCATCATCAAAATAAGCTTGACTCCTTATTTTATGGCAGAAAGCAAAATGTAACAGTTCGACCCTTAACTACTTCTGTCCATCCTGGATATTGAGTGCATTAGAAGATTAATATATTCTGAGCATCCCAGCTTAATCCCGACAGAAAATTACAAAGATCATTTAGATTGAACCAGCCAAAAAGGTTGAAGACGAAATCGTGAACATGTTTTAGAACAAAATAAAGTGACGTTGATAATTACCTGATATATTTTTCGGTCCAGTGACTTTTGTAGTTTTAACCTTTCAAAACAGGATACCCAATGGGACACAATCTCATTAGTAATTCATTACAAACCAAAAAAACTGAAGAATGGACTCCACCGTCACAAATTAAATGAGTTAAATCTTGAAATCCTTTAAAAGTCATGATCTTTACAAGTAAACACTGATTTATCCAATTGTATAAACGAAACCCGGCAAAAACTGAGTAACGAAGTCACTCGTGATAATTAAGAGCGAAGCATGGATGTAATGACTGACACAAGATGTAAAATTCCTAACCGTAATAACATTTGGTCTAAATTTAAAACATTTGTTAATTACACAACATAACTTGAAGGCTAATTGTAGGCCTAATATATGCACGCCTTACCTTTTGAGGTTGAGTCGGGGCCACCTCTGGTACTAAATTAAAGGACGAATCGATACAAAATTAGCTAATTTGCATGATTGGTAACATTACAAACATTAATTTAAAAAAAATCAGGCCTGATTTTTTTCAGGTCTGATTTTCGCTATTGTTTAAATAGCGCTATCTACTGCGAGGATCGTGCATCATACGTATCTAATACCGCAGTTCAAAATATATGAACTTCATATATTTCATTGTATCTGATCTCATTGCAAGTTGGAACCCCAATTTAGAATATAGAAACATCAAAATTAATCATTCACCCTGATTACGCCATTTAATAACCGTGCTAGAGATGAAGTTGAATTTAAACTAAGGCCATCAGCCTGGATAAATAATTTTCCTTTTATTTATTTTTTTTCCCTTTCATTTTTAGCTCTGTTAAGGATTTTCAGTCTTGGCCAGTCAGGTACGTTTACTATTTAGTTGCATGCTTCAAAACAAAATCTTTGTATTGTTATGATCATAAAGATATTTTTGAAAATCAACGGCTATTTTACACTTTATTTAGTGAATGGCATGATCGAATCTGATTGAACATCGAAACTGACCTCAATTAAATCTCTGATATAAAAGGGTAAAGATTATCAGATGGACTAAAGATTGACAATCACTTAGGCTCTGACATCACAAGGCGAACCTTTCATTTTCGTAAGTAGTCATCTTTAGATAAACGATGGAGTTTAATGATAGTGGGGAAAGGTGTAACTTACAAAACTAAAACGCTTAACACATTCTTAGTGTCACCATCTTGTGTAAGCTGGTGATACATGGCTGCAGTGGTAAAACGCAAAATAGTGCGATAGTAAAGGACATAATCGCCATATAAGTCCTGCTGTTTTCCCCGTGAAACCAATCATAACAAAGAGACTATAAACCGTAACAAAGAGACTATCAACCGTAGCAACGACACCCGTCCTGCGGTGTTGAGACAACTTTGACGTCCTTGTAGTACATTAGCGAGAGATGGAAAAGCAACATACCATGCCATAAGTGAAGCATTAAGTTGGTAACAGCTTTTTAAAACGTTGGCCTTAGCTGTCTATCCTTTGTTATTATCATTTGCTTCTTTTGATGTATTAGAACTGCTACCAGGATCATGTTATTGAAAAAATCAAATGTAATAAAATACTATAAGTTCCCTGCGTTTCTTTTGAACTTTATTTGATGTGGCATTCTTCCGTATATCTTGTTTGTTATTTTTTATTTTTTTTATTTTTTTTTTATCTTTTGGGTTCGAAAACAACTAAAGAAAACAAAACGAAGCAAGACAAAACTGTGTTAAACAACAGCCAGTGTAAGGAAGACAGAACATGTGGTCTTACAAGGCGAAAAATTTTGTTTTCTGAGCCAAATGTTCAACCGCTGAAAATGGCGGAAAAATTGAAGGGAGCAAAGAAGGAGCGGAGAGAAAATACAAAGGGTAAAGACAAGTAAGCATCCATGATGGCCGATGAAAGTCTCTCTAAATCAACAAAAGCTGCTTCAGTGTTAGCAGAGAACCTGCAGCTGGATGCGACGACCATGGGAAGGGTAATTTGTTTACTCGATCAAGACAACACCGTACCATTCATAGCTCGATATCGCAAGGAAGAAACTGGAGGACTGGATCCTTCCAAACTCAGGCAAATAAAGGAGCAGTATGAACATTTTAAGTAAGTGAATATCTTAATTAGGCTTTTTCTGCCGTTTGTTTTGGCCTCAGTATACGCGAGGAGTCACACAACAGCCTTGCGTAATTCCACGTGGGGCAAGGGGCGTTTTCAAGGGAAGCAGGAGGAGGGGGGACTGTAAGGGCTGGGTTTGTGAAGTGTAGGGGGATTTTTGATGCGGGCATGGTATGGCGCAAGTTTATTGACTCTTTACACCCAAACGTCAGTATAAATATTCTCCATACTGTTTTTGATACATTTCCTAAGATGCTGACAACTAGGAGAATAGTTTGAGTATGTACAATATCCGAGCCAGCAGGCCATGCGAGCCATGCGGGTCAACAACTCAATTTTTTTGTAAAATTTTCATTTCAAGTTACATTTCAAAGACTTCTCAGTACAGGTGGCCCAAGCTCTGTCACAGGCTCTTTTACAGTGAATAGTTAAAGAGTTTGTATAGTGGTTTCGTTGGACTTGCTTTTGAGCTCCGTAAATGTAAAGTTGTGTGAAATAATGAAAGAAATAAAGTCTTACCTTCATGGAGAGTAGTCTGTGTTGTTCTCCTTGCGATTTGAGGCTGTTTTGATGTGTTTTAGCTTGACGCCCTAAATCACCGTGCACAAAATACGGGAAGGTTGAAAACTTCTGTTGACACATGCTTGCCGAAATCTAACACCAACTCTTCACATATACTAAGGTACCCCAGGTAAGAGGATATTTGTAAAAATCCATTGAAAACAGTGAAGATGGACAGTATCGACGATCTAGTCAAGTCAATGAGTATACGGGTCCTCCCCGTAGAAGAATATGGGGAGGACCCGTTGAGAGAGATTTGACTAGGGTCCAGGTTGACCGCACATTAACAGTCTCTCAGCTGCACAAGAAGTTCCTTCCACGCATTAGAAGAATTCAGAACAGCCATTAATTTGAAATTATCGCTAGATTGGTTGCTTGACAAACCATTTTTTGTGGGATTTTTTTTGGTGAACTAAAAGGGCAACCAATTGGCTTTCGTGCTGCCAAGTTTTGACTCGAGGCGAGTTTGGCGAGCATGTGTCAACAGAAGTTTCCAACCTTCCTGCATTTTGTGCACGGTGATTTAGGGCGTCAAGATAAAACACATCAAAACAGCTTCAAATCGCGAGGAGAACAACACAGACAACTCTCTATGAAGGTAAGACTTTATTTCTTTGATTATTTCACACAACTTTCATTTATGGAGCTCAAAAGCAAGTCCAATTAAACCACTATACAAACTCTTTAAACATTCACTGTGAAAGAGCCTGTGACAGAGCTTGGGCCACCTGTGTTCTCAGCATTCAAATAAAGTTAATCAGTGGTTTGTTCAAATCTCCGAGAGTTTTAAGATAAAAATCTCACCTCGTTGGCACATGTTATGATTTGATTACACAACAAATGCCTTTGGACCATTTCGACGATGTCTTCCTCTTTTACATGCACAAATTTTGCCAGACAACGATAAAAACATAGATTTCTTGAACCAAGTGGGTCAGAATGTAATGTTAATCCCTGCTTATAATATTGGCCTCCAGGAAGCCTTGTAGACGTCAATTCGCCATGAATCTGTATTAGCATGTAGACGATATGGGTTAATTTTCAATCATTTGCAACTACACTCACAAATAAAACATCAAATATCAAAATTTAATGAAAGCAAAACAAAACAATAACTTACCTCAACAAAAGATGAAAAGGATGAAGGCAGATAACAAAATGACAAAGGAGGAAGAGTGAGGATTGAGAAACCTCGAAAGCCAAAGTAAGGAAAATGGACTGGGAACTAACATATGGCTCGCATGTTGACTCACTGGCTCGCTGGCTCCTGAATACTTTGAACAATCCAGAGCTTCTCTTGTTGTGGTGATCATGTCCTATATTCTCGTGACCTGAACGTGGGGATATGGTACTGCTAAAAAAGTATGATCTAAATGTAGACCTTGGATGTCAATCCATCAATTTCTGTAATTGCTTTTGGCTCAGTCAGCTGTACATCTTCTTGCACAAGTTTGTAATCACATCACCAAGAGACTAGATTGATATAATTTGCAGATCCATCAGAGAACGTGCCAAGTTAGTTACGAAGAAGATCGGTAAGAAGCTTACACCAGACATCAAGAGGTCTCTTGACAATGCTGTTACCATGGAAGAAGTGGAAGAAGTGGTAATAAGAATTGACATAAAAATGATAAAAAGCATGGAATGAACCAGCTAGCATTTTTGTGTTGTGGCGAAAGTTTGCACTTGATTTTTATGTGCATTTTGGCATATAGATTTTCTCGTCAGTGTTTCCCTTTGAATCAATCAATAATCATTACCTACTTTTGTTTGCTCTGCTGCACATCATTCACTTTGTTAACCCTTAAACTCTCAAGATCTGACAGTTTATTCTCGCCTCTACCTGCTTAGCATTTCCGTGGTATATTACTGGTAGTCACAAGATTTTTGTGTTAGATCAAGATAAAAACTTCCTGATAAGTTAGATTATTATCATTATACTTGTTTGCTGGATAATGAATGGATTGAAGACTATCCATTGGCTTGAAATTTTCTTATACTGGGTGTGGGACTAATTTGTGTTAGATCAAGATAAAAACTTTCTGATAAGTTTGATTATTATCATAATATACTTGTTTGCTGGATAATGAATGGATGTTCTAGGGGGAATTCATGTGCTGATTACTTCTGGGATTTTAATGGTGAAGAGAGAAGGGACAGAGACCACTGAATATATAAACACATTGAAGACTATCCATTTGCTTGAAATTTTCTTATACTGGGCGTGGGATGAATTAGTAGATGACATGCTACAGTTGTTGATCTAAAGTAAACCGAAACAAGGTGTTCCATTGACCTATCATATGGTACATTGTTTTATACCGAGTGCTTTGCCATAACACAGGATTGAGAATATTATTTTAACTTTAAACTTATTGTTACTTTTAATTTTGTATATTTATGAGATCATCTGAGTATTATCCATTTTTCATTGTCTGGGTTCTTCTTAGATTCTGCATCTAACAATCACAATCAGGGGAGGGCCGACCATTTGTTAGGCACAGACTTTTGCATGTCACAGTGCGTATATGTTATTTACTGAGTGGGAGGTCCATATCAGAACAAAACTGTTCCCAAGGTCTTGAGTATGGTCTTGATGGTCTGAACCTGAAGGGTGAGGGCTGTAAGGTGAAGGGTACAGTTTCTTCCATATCAACCAAACTAGATTGGTAGTGAATTTCTTTTTTATGTTGATTTGCTTTTTTCCTCTGCTCTTCCATGGGTTAAACAGAAATAATTCTGGAATGTGGTCTGTACTGTTTAAAGCTGGACCTGTTTTTACTGCACCATCAGCCAATCAGATTTGAGTACTTAATTTTTTGGCCAATTTCGATGCTTCAGAAAAAAAATTTAAAATTATGGTTTTTTATCTTTGTTTCCTCAAATTGGTTAGTACGCCCCATTTAAGCCAGGTCACAAAGGAACATATGCCGAGAGATCACGCCAGTTAGGCCTTGGTGAACCTGCAGAGCTCTTGCTGAAGGATCCTACAGCTGTTCATCTTGACAAACTGGTTAAACCAGGTGTGAAAGGTACAGAGAAACCATTTCCTTTATTTGCTTTGTCTACTATTGTATTTACAGTTCATACATTGACCTGATGCCAACTCTACCTAAGACGGAGAGCAGGGATGCAGCAGTGGTGAGAGTGCTTACCTCTTACCTCTGTTGCCCAAGTTCAATTCCAGGGCCTTGGGTCAATTGTGGGTTGATCAGTTTGTTATGTTTCTTTTTGTACTTTTACTAGGTTTTCTCCTTCCATAGAAACAAACATAGTGATTGCAAATTTCAATTCAGCCTAGAAACAGTGGAAAGAAGAGCCACCTTGTGGAAAATTCACTGCTAAATTCCCACAACTATTAATACAATCAATATTACTGGACACGACTATGGTTATATGCAGGGAGCAATGATTTGAGGAAGTGATTAGGGAGAGTGTGAAGTCCTTCAGGCTCTCCTTCATTTAGTTCATACCAAATTTGATTCCTGAACCTGCCTTTTCCATCTGTGACTTGTGGGGCCCTAATTCCATCTTATCTTCTTGTATTTTGAGTTGACCAATCAAGTTTTCCCTCATGATGTTTGTTTTTTTGTTTTAGCTTATTGGGAATGAAAATTGGGAATGAAAATTGAGAATGATTATCTAGTGCCAGATTAGTGGCTCAGAAATACTCAAGTCATTGGGTCATCATTTGGATTTAATGATTGGTCTCTGGAAACAACGTATTTGCAGGAATCAGAACTGTCAATGAGGTATCCCTTGGCCTTCAATATATTCTAGCAGATGTCATCTCCAAAGACAGTGCAACTTTAAACTCCATCAAGTCATTGTAAGTCTTACAATTCATTTTATATTTTTTTGGTCATAAGTTGACGTCAAGTATATCAAGCTGTGATTAGGCTCTTTCTTTCTTTTCTTTTCTTTTTTTTTCTTTTTTTTTTCTTCTGACGTTTTTGTTATTTAAGCTGCACCAACTCCAGGCTGAACACATTTGCCAATAAGAACGGAGAGAAATATCACAGTGAGCTAGTAGGAACTCAAATTAATTAGCACATGATAAACACCTTAGTGTACATTATAAAGCTTTAGATGCATGCGGAAGGTTGCCAAACATGAAAGAAGCGTAAGATTCACTCGAGGCGATAGCCGAGAACGACTCTAGCTTCTTTAGTGCTTAGCAAACCTCCCAAGTGAGCAAAACAAAAGGAAAAAGACTCTCAGCGAAAACATATGTTGTAGATAATTCCCCTTACCCCTGACAGACTTTTAGTTCAATTCTGCTGAACAGCAATTTTGATTTTAACTCGATTTTAACCCTTTTTTTTTCACTTAAAAGAGGCTTAAGCTCAAGCTTCTATTCGTTTCGGTGAGATTCTTTCGCAACTCTGCGTCGAATGTCTTTACTTTCTGTGCCGACAGCCAAGCTTCTTTTTTACTTTCATATATGGACTCTTCTCCTTTTTATCTTCCCCCATTCACATTCTAGTTTTAAACGCAGAGAGATACCAAATATCTCCACGTGCAACTGAAATCAGGAGATGTTAACGTGAGGGTTGCGATGTTTTTGCCGTAAGAAACCCTTTGGGAGTCACTCATGTTGACATGTTATAACTGACTTACACTTTGGCGGGCTAAAGAACTCAGTTGGAAAATACTTTTTTGTAAATAACTCATGTGAATAATGTTTAGTTTGACATTAGAAATAAAAACAAATATAAAACAAAACAAAAAAAAAAGGCAAAAGAATTGGCTCTTGATTGCTCTTGGATGACTTGTTTTGATCATGTTTTACAGGTTGAAGAGAAATCCAGTTCGTGTGGTAGCGAGCCTGCGTCCTTTAGGCAAAGAGAGAGCAAAATACAAAAAGTATGATGGTTTTCATAGGCCAGTGACTTCGCTTAAGGCACATCAAGTAATAAGTTTTCTCTTTTCATTTTTAGTATTCAACAAACAGTATTGTAACTGATCTTTATTTCTTTTAGAAAGATCTAAATTTTGATGTATGGATGGTATTTTCAAACAATTGAAACGGTGGATAAAGATCTTACCTTGCCCCTTCTTCTTTCATCACCTTTCTGACAATGGCACCTGCTTTTTCTTATGGAGTTTTATACTTTTCAATGGAAGAAAATAATTTTTCCTTTAGTACGATATAGCAACTTTGCATAGTCAGCACAGCACAATTTGGCATTCCCTGGCGATGGAGTTTGAGTCGGCGTTTTCGAAGACTGTATATGACCCAGGGGAAACTGGATTTTCGAAGTCCTAAGCAGATGCGAAAGAACGAACCAATCACAATAGCGGCTCTCCGAGTACAGTCTTTGCTTACAACTCAAAAAATACAGTTTCCATTGGATGTTACAGTAGGCGACAGAGGCGTTAGCGGTATTAAAAATCTCACCATATCGTATCGCCGTGCTTTTCCGATTGACTCCGAGTCCATCCTAAGCGAAACTTAACTCACGTTATGTACCACCTCTTTCTATAGGTGCTTGCTTTAAATAGAGGTGAACAGAACAAGAATCTCACCGTGAGGCGTGAGATTCCTAAAAATGCCGAATTTGACTTTCATACTCCTCTTCTGGAAAAATGGGTGCCCTCCAATGCATCTGGTGCAGTATATTAATTTTGTGACATGGCTTGAAAATCCTAAATTAGACATAATGCTATTATTATTCTCATTGTTGTTGTTGTTATTATTATTATTATTATTATTATTATTATTGTTATTATTATTATTATTATAACAGTCTATTTCATCCAGTCGTAGAAGATGTTCAAAAGAAGCTTTACAGTGACACTCTAATTTTCGAAAAATGTATTTAAATAAGTCTTTATACGTCATACGCACTATACATTTTACCTATTAATTTCATTTTGGAGCTGTTATCATTTTAAAGTTGTTTGATTTTGTATCAATTGTAAGGATGTACATAATTTCAATAAAATGTCCTTCATGTAATGTATTTGATAAACCATTAATATTATTATTTTATTTGACAATTTGCTAACTATTTTAATGATTGATTTAGCACAGATAAAAAGATTATGCAAGAGTGCAGTGCTTGATGCTTACAAAAGACTCATTGAACCAAAGATCATTAGAAGAACCAGGTGATGCTACAAAGCATAGTGCCTGCATACGTTTGGTGTAACGATTAAGATTCTTGATACACGAGGTAGCTCGTTAGTGCTAAAGATTTCATTCTGGTGAAGTTTAAAGAAATTTGCATTTGATTGTCGAATTTAATTCATGATAGCGTTTGTTCTGTTTGTTTCGTTCCCTGATTGGTTCAGAAACTATTGCCACACTCAATTAGGGGTATTATAAAGCTACATGAAAAGTAACTGTGTTTAGGTCCCATGTTCCATGCTTCGGGAAGTCTATTTATTTACACTGTGAATTATCCTTGGCTTAATGTGGTATTTCCCACTTTAAAGATGCGGTATTTAATAATTTGAATGTTTGATTTAAAGTTGATTGTACTATTATTATTATTAATATTTCCTTTGAAGAGTGTCATTAACGAAACAGGCTGAAAAGGAGAGCGTCAACGTATTTGTGATGAACTTGTATCGTCTCCTCCTCACCCCACCATTGAGAGGAAAGAATGTCATCAGTCTAGACCCAGGCTTCTCCCATGGATGCAAGTTAGCGGTTCTTGGGTCTACAGGTGAATAACAGACAAACATAACGACAAACAAGCAAGTAAACAGACAATCAAGCAAACAAAAGAACAAGATGGAAAACAAACGAAATACGACAAATAGAAATTAAAAAATAAATGTAGAAGCGAAACGATGTAATTTCTTCTTTCAAATAGAAGCGAGGAGAAAACACTAAGTATTTATCAATATCATATGTGATATATTTTCAATATCTACAATGCACATTTTGAATCCATTTCCTTGGAGTCCCAATCCTCGCAATATCAAAATGTTGTTAAACAAAGAAGTGCTGTGAATAATCAAAATTCTACGCTGGACGGTCTTATATTGACTGACCACCAAGCTCCCTCCCCTAAGGTTCGACGCATTGTTGGGCATCTGGACGGAGAGTGTCACGATGTGAAGCCGGCAGAGCACAGTTTTTCTTTTATTCCTTTTGTACAAAAAAAGAAAACAAATCGTCGTCTTATCTTTTGTGTGACAGGTTTATTTGTGACGCACATGAAATGGCGTTATTATTTCTTACTGTAGGAGAGATATTAGGGACAGGTGTAATCTTTCCTTTTGGGGAAAACAAAAACCGAGGACGAGCAGAGAAGACTGTGATCGACCTTGTTCTAAGACACAGGTAATACAGCTTTTTTTTTTTTTTATGTCTTTAAAAGTTTCCAGCGTCGTCACAATTTCATGTTAACTCAGGCTTCTTACTCCCACGAGTAACCAAGACAGAATTTCCTTTCACAATATCAAGCAGACAAGTGGCGAGAATGAATGAAAATAATAATTAAAGGAACTATCAGTTGATTTAATTCCAAATTGTCCAAACCTATAACTCATCTTTGGATTTTTATGGTAGACAGTAAGAAAAATTACCAGTGAGATCTGGGAGGGATAGGTTTAAGCAAAGGCGACAAAGAGTACACCTCACTGGTTTGTGTAGTTTTATTTCTCGTATCTTTGCCTCGGGCTTTTTTTTAGTATGCATCACGAGACTATTGAGTATTATTTCGGATAGAGGCTCCGACCTTGAACACATGACAACTTGATCAGGAGACTCGAATTACTTGGGTATGATTGGTTACAAACAGATGCTGTTTGGCTAAGAAAAGTGCCCAATACCTTACTTTTCAGCCTAATTGCAGTCACTGTGATTGACATGTGTTCACTTTCAGCTGTGACTATGTGGCCATTGGGAATGGCGTTGGATGCCGGGAAGCTGAACAGTTTATTTGTAAACTCATCGAAAAAGGAAAATTTGTACCTCGTGACGTCGCTTATTGGTAAGAACCACGAACAAATATTACCAATCTTCATATTGCTTGCAGGGTGACCAAGTTCTGGTTCACAAAAATGCTACTATATCGAAACTTTTTTATTATTATTATTATTATTGTTATTATTATTTTTTTAATGAGAGCTCATCTTTTACGGCGTAATGCAGCGGTTTAGGTAACTGTTAGGGCTATAAACAGTATAGCACGACATATCGAACCCTTCACCAAGTTATTCCCACGTCCTATCGTAGTGTTAGGTAGGATTTTCTATTTAATTAAATGAATGGTACAAACTGTATTTACGTTTTACCTAATAACTGATAATATCTTTCAGTATCGTCAGCGAAGCTGGAGCTTCTGTTTATAGTGCTTCTCCTGAGGCAGAAGCTGAGCTGCCGAGCCTCGATACAACCTTGAGGGGTGCTGGTAAGTAAGTCCCCTTCTTAATTTCTCACAACTTTGCCCAAAATTGTCTTTGGCTTCGGAATCCAAACAAGGTTTATCGAGAATAGTCCATGGCAAATAAAATCTCGAGAACAAAACTTGTAAGATAATTAAACGGAACTCTAGTAAACTGTTGGTCTCATCTGGCTATCCAATCAGGTAACGCAAAAAGTACTATCTATTTGCTTGATACATGCTGCCTTGTAGATATGATTTTCGTGTTGTATTCCTTTTTTATTGTACTTATTTATCTTGATATTCTAGTTTCAATTGGGCGGAGATTGCAAGATCCTCTCTCAGAATTAGTAAAGGTTGAACCCAAGCATCTAGGTGTTGGAATGTATCAGGTAAGGGAAAACCCCTAAGATACGTTAGAGTCCTGTTTATTTAAATTCAGTTTGAATAGGTTTGATTCGGCCTAATTTTGTCCTTGTTTTTGCTGTTTTTCTTGGTGTTTTGGCCGCTATTTATCTTTTTTTGTTGGTTTACTGCAGCATGACATCCCCGAGACTATGCTGCGAGAGGCCTTGGACGGGGTGATAGAGGACTGTGTCAGCTTTGTAGGAATTGACTTAAACGTGGTTGGAGTCTCCATGTTAAGGTATTTTATTATTTGTGTAAAAAATCGTAGCTATAAATAAAAGATTACACCTACGATAACATCCTGGAAGGTTAATTGAATTGCTGTTATAACCTGGGACTTACTTGAGTGGTAAGTTTCAGGTTAAAGCAGCAGTCCAATTAACAGTAATTGTTAAAGAATCTTACAGCTTTTAAAACGTTACGGTGACTTACAGTGTTCATGAATGAGATTCCATCGTGATGCGAACTCCTTACGGTGTTCTTACTCTCTGTTTTTTCTCTTAAGGCGCATAGCTGGTTTAAATGAAACGAAAGCGAAGGCTATTTTAGCATGGAGAGAGAAACATGGTGCCTTCGTAAACCGTGAGGAGCTAAAGGAAGTGAAAGGAATTGGATCAAAAACGTATGAACAATGTGTAGGTTTTGTCAGGATAATCAGTAGTCCGCCAACTCAAGGCAACTGTACAATACCATCTACCAGTGGTCAAGATACGATTATTATATCAAGTCCTGACGGGGGAGAGAATGCGAAGACCCATGGTAAGAAGAGAAAACATGCAATCAGCGAAGAACAGGGAGGGAGGAAGAAACAGATGAAAACTGTTGGGAGCCAAAAGTTTCGTCCCGAGCCGTTGGATAGGACTTGGATTCACCCTGAATCTTATCCAGTGGCTAGAAGGTAAGCTGCGCGTGACAGAATTGCATGAAATAGCATCGAATTAGCTTTCCATTGATCAAAATTAGGCGAGATCAAGCAGATAAAAATAATACAACAGATGATCACTATCCAATGAAATCAGTTAAAGTTACGGACTTATTTCTTCCAGGAAGATATATTTCTGAGAAGAAAGGGAAAAAAAAAAACCTCATGTTGCTCATCTTATAAGTATACACTTGTCACACATTTTAAGTACACAAGCTTTGCGTCACGTCAGAAACAGGAACAAGAGTAGTTAACTGTATGTTACAATAAAGTCACGGTGAGAAGAATATGGTCATCTTTGACTGACATTGCCATAGCAGATTATTGATCTGCAACCTTTGTTTGTTTCGCTATATAGCGTCATGAAAGAGTTGGGTGTTCTACCAGAGCAGATTGGTAAACCGGAAGTTAAAGCTGCGATTGAAAAATATCTACAAACTCAGAGTAAGTTAGGATCCTCTAAAGTCTATCTTCCGTAATTGATAATATATATAATAATTTCCTTAATGATTTGCGATATATTCTTCCACTGTTGGTTTTTAGAATAGCTTAAGTTATAAATAGGCAAAAGAGTAGAAGTCCCGGCGTTTTAGAATGAAAACTACAAATAAATGACAGTCACAGCATTTTCGTGTCACGGTAACATAAGGATTTAATTAAAGACTTAATGATGATGCCAAGACATCCTTGATTTTTTTCAAAATATATACTGCTTCATAGTTAGCTTGAGCGTATCACAGTATCTCTCGCTTCAACTCAGTCCAGTATCTGGGGAGTTCTCGAGTCTGTCGAAACTCTGTTCTGCAAAACCTGCAGTTTAAAAAAGGGCGTTGCGTCAGCAAGGGATCTAGGCCTCACGTGGACCCAACTTACAAAGACAGGACGCTCATAGGCTAGACATAGGAAATTAGAAGTTCGGCCTACCCATCAGCCATCACTCTCTTCTCTTACATTAATGCTATGATCCAATGGTACGTTTTCTGAATTTCTGTTTAGGTTTTTAAAGTATGGTTTGGTTTTTGTGGTCGTTGCTTGTATTGTAATTTTGATTGTATTTTTTTTTTTTTTTTTTTGGTTTTGAATAATCTACAAGAAAACCGAATTATTATTCAGTGGAACTCAATTAAATTCTCACCTTTAAAATATTGCAATATAATGTTGCTATAACTATAGGTTTAGAAATTGTACCGCCTAGTTATTTAATCATTGGAGTGAGTCTGAGTATCTTTGCTACTGGTTTGGTTTCGCTCTGCAGAGATTGAGAAATTGGCGGCCAAGAACAATGTGGGCATTGCAACACTACAGCATATTGTGGATGGTCTCAGACAGGCGACGGATCACGACATAAGAGTCAGTAAGTATAACGACCCCCAGCCTTCTCCTCCCTAATTGAAAACTCGGACGACACGATATTCCTTTTGTAATAGAAAGATACAAAATGTAGTTGAGCAGGGGTTTCATTAAGAGCCAGGCACTGGGCAAATTGACCGGTTGTGAGGACGGCTTTGCCCACCTGATTTGACCATCTTGAGGAAAGTTTATCTTATAGAGAAGTTTAGTTCAAAGAGTTTTGCCCGCCTGTGAAAACCAGTTGCCCTCCTGCAGAAAACAATAATGAAACCCCTGGTTGAGATGTAACATGAAGAGGATTTGGAATTTTGACGATGCAAGGTAGCCCAATTGGCTACGTAGCAAACAAATAAACATACTAACAAGAAAACAAAAAAGGAATAGCATTTTTGTACTCTCTAAAATGGCAAAATGAAAAGAGTGGAGAAGGAAAATAAGTTTGCCTTGTAAACTCTTTGAATGGGTAAGGAAAACATTATCCTTACATTTTCAATACAACATGAAGGAGACAAGTGATGAAAATAAAAAGATAAAATATAAATTAGGGGATTATTAGTTGTTCCAATACTGAATACTCCAAAATAACATCAGGAAAATTTTATGGCAGGCAGTGAAGAGAAATACTAATGAAACTTTAGGAGTAGAAGGGTTCAAGAAATACAGGGACCTCATAAAAATAAAAATAAAAAATTAATTAAGGATGATGAAGATACCGGTAAAAGAATACCTTGCAGTCTTTTGTAGTAATTATTTACCCGAAGGAAGGGGAAGGGGGATAGAGACAGAGTAACGCAGTGCTTATTTGAGCCCGACGTTTTTCGGGGACACGATTTAATACAGTCTTACTGCTCATGAACAATTTGTATTTGCTTCTTCCCTGATTAGATTTCCAGAAACCTTTGTTCAAAAAGAACATCACCTCGCTTAAAGACATTCATCCGGGCACTCAGCTTAGCGGTCGCGTCATGAATATGACGTCATTTGGTGCATTCGTAGACTGCGGTGTTGGCCTGGATGGCCTGGTTCACAACAACGACATGAGACAGTTCGAAGGAAAACTAGGCCTAGGAGATCTAGTTGAAGTCACTGTTAAAAGTGTCGATACTGAGAAACAACAATTTTCTCTGGTTCTGAAGAAAATTTCCTCAAGTTTCAATCCAGAGTTGCTTATCTCAATGGGAAATTAGTTTGTGAATTTTTTTCAGAAAAAAATTGGCGACAAACTTATCATTCCCAGGTCTTGTTTTTGCTTCTTTATGAATGTAGTGCTTCCACATTACAATTACTTGGTAACAGAGTGTTTCAATTAAACTTATTTGAAATTGAGGTCTCTTATTAGGAATCTTCGTCTTTGCGAGTCACTGAGTGACTGAGTGAATTTGCTCCTTTCTGCTTTGAAGCCATCACTAACTCGAAATTAAGACAGCTCTACACTTGTGTTACCAGGAAAAGAAAAAAAATTAAAAAGGAAAAAGCAGAAATCCCTTTCGAATCAAATCAGACTCACAAAGAATTATCTGTTTTGTTAAAAGGGAAAATCCCTCTTAATAATATTGCAGACATCATTAAAATATATTTTCTCTAGAACTTGTCTTCAAAAATTATCTTCCACTTTTATGCTTGAAACAATGGAATGCATGCGAATACTTACCAAACCATACACCAACAAGAACATTAGTTACCGCTCGACATGGAACGATACACCACTGCTACATCTTGTTTAACCCTTGATCCCTAACCAGTGAACAGCATTTAATTTCTCCATACAATATCACACCTGGATCACTTTTTTAAGGTCTCGCGAATGAAGGAAGTGATCTCCAACAAAAGAAGCTCATAATTGATAAACTAAATTCTCCTTGTCAACTCCTCAGGAATTGTATGAAAAACATTATGCAGAATATAAATACTCATATTAACCCTCAAAGTTCAACGAATTACATTTATTTAGTTATTGCACTACTTGCTCTTGAAACTAACTTCATTAACGATACAATAGACTGCAAAATTTTTACTTTTGAAATTCTCCCTATGTGCAGTGTAGCATGACCTACTCGTGATAAGAACATTCGACCGGTTCCTGCCTCACCAATGCCAATTGCTATACTTCGTACTCTGTGAATGTGCCTCGGTTCACTTTAAGGCCGGTCGAGGTCTTATAATGAGTTAACGAAACCACCCGTCGACCCCCCAATTAAATAATGCTAATTTCACACAACTTAAAGTGTATATGACACGAAATTTTTTTTTTCGTTGATAGCTAGGTCCATGTGTGTAATAAACGGTTTGAGAGTTTAAAATGAATGAAACAATTTTTTTGGTCGATTTTTAGCGCCCGAAACACGCTAAATTTATGTGTAAAATGGTTCCCGGAGACTGGGCCGAGAATTGGACTCGTGACGTCAGGTTGTTTGATCCTATGATTGGCAAGGTCAACAACTTTCAGTGTTTTCCTTGTAACACGCTGTGATTACTCGCTCAATTCTATCGTTTCACGCTTCGAAATGTCCAGCGATTCCGAGAGTATTGAGTCGTCTGACTCTATAGAAAGTATGGATTGTGGAATAAGCGACAGTTCTGAAGAGGAATGGGGAGTTATCACTGGTGTGATAGCTCCATATCAAGATGAGCCGCTCGCGGACGAGAACGACGAAGAAACTGGCGTTTCGAGCGAACAAACCGATGTTGATGGACTTACCCCGTCAACTCTGGAGGCTAGATACGAGAGAACTGTAGACGTAGACTCCTGGTTAGTAAAACTGGTCCTTTAAAATTCCTTGTATATATACTTATAGCAAATCTTTGTTAGACAACAATTCATTTTTGCTGTCTTCTTCAGGTGTCGCTGCAAGCAATGTAATACCGGGACGTTAGTTGGTTCCCTGGAGTTTCGATGTTGCAGAGAGGTAACAAATTCATCTGCAAAGATGGTTTTTGATGGTTCCATTGAACGGATAAAATGCATCACACAACACGAGGACTACGATGCGATTAGGAACCGCGCAGTTCTTCTCCAAGTGGCTCCCTTGTTGAGAAACCAGGATGGTGGGACTTACCGTCGCCGAGGTGGAGTCAGAAAACGAGTCAGTACATTTTTAGTAAAAACATAAATAAAAACATACAATGTGTAAACTAGCATAATCACTTTGCTGGGCATAAAACATTAAGCTTCAGATAAATCAGGGTAAATTAAGGCACCTCAAGCTATAAAAGTTGACCAAGTTAAGTTAGATTTTGCATTTACTTGGACTTTTATCTGATGCACTGACCTAAGGTAAAACAGGAACTAATAAGATTGCTTGCAAAGTAGCTTGTAGGAAAATGTAAGCTTGAGAAATGCCCTGCAGTTCATTATCAATTCCTAAACATAAATATTTTTTATTTGAATGTGTGTGTCATGGGGAGGTGAAAGGCAGGGTCCTGTAGTAATGTAGAGCATTCTTACACACCTTCCTATATAATTTTCATTGTGCTTTTACTCTAGGTTCATTAGAGCTGTTGCATACCGATGGACCACAAGGTGGCTTTGTGGCTACATGGGCTGGGATAACAGAAGACCACTACCAGCCTGTGTTTACCATAATATCAGAACTAAATACCAGTCACAAAATACCAGAGGTTTTGCTGCTGCTCATAACAGAGACTAGCATAGTACACAGAATCAAAACTATGACATGATTGTTCTACACTGATTGTCTCGGTAAACAACAATTTTCAAATTGATTTTCATGGGTGGTTGTTTCTTGTTCTATTGTTTGGTAATGTATGGACTGTGAACCAGAAACAGCTTAGGTTCTACATGCACACTAGTTTGACTAAATTTAAAATTTCAACTTGTTGTAGGTACACTGCAAATATTGTAAGTCGATGAGTACAGTGCAATGCAGGCATGGAAAATTTGAAGTAAGAAGGAAAATTGTACCACGCAGAAAACCTTCCTGTGACAAAAGTTTGGTCACTTTATTTTTTGCAACGGCTTTTGTGACTTCACAATGGTTTTTGGCATATTGAACAATTGTAAGGTCGTCTTGAAGTGGGTTGACTGCTGCTTGGGGTATCGTCACTGATAGACATCTGTAGTTTAGCCTGCTCTGCTTCTGTAAAATAAATAAGTTTATTTAATTATGTTAGTGCATTTTTTGTTTGTTTGTTTGTTTGTTTCACATGCTTTTACCATGGAAAAAACATGTAGAAGACATCCTCTGTGGAGACAATCATCATATTCAGGGGTATCTGGATCAACTCTGCAAAATAAAAGGCATGGCTGAATCCTTTCAATAATATACTCAAGTTACATAATGAATTATTGTGAAGTGGAACAAACAATAAACTCAGACTCATACCCAGTAGCTACTTATATGTTTTGAGGGTGAGAGAAGATTGGATATGAGAGTGAATTGATGAACATGAGGAGTTCTGGATGGGAAAAAGGGCTATTTTCCTTTTGTCCTTTCCCATAACTCCCTAAGTGCCTCAATCCAGTTATGCAAGTGGTATAATTCCAATGAAAGCTACAATAGTAGTCTCACCTGATATCTTTTTCCATGCTTTCTTCTGAGAGATTCTCTTCCTCTTCATCATCCTCAGTACCTTCAGCTTCTGTGGAACCTCCTGCCTGTGACTTCCAGTCCCCATCCTCATTCTCTGTTGCCATATCTGTATCAGTCCCAGTGCTTGACCAGATAAATAAATCTTTGGACCCACTTTCCTCCTGCACATCAATTTCTCCTTCAGATGCTGTTTCAATTACTTTCTATAATAACAAACAAACAAGATGGAATAAATTATCCAGTACTAGTGAGAGTGAGTAGCACTAGGAACACTTGAATCAAGTTCAATATGGATACTATTCTTTTGCCATTATACAAAGCTACAAGAAAGCATAAATAGGTTTTGTTTAGCACTCACACTTTTGAGCTCTCTTATCTCCTTTTTCTGTTCCTTTACTATTCTCCTTAGACGCATAGTTTGCTTCTTCTGATTTTTTAATTTGGATTTATATACACAATCTACACAAGAGCTGCCTTGCAATGGTGTTACATTGGGGGATGGTGCTGTATTGACTGGCGTAGTACAGGTATTGTTGGTGGAGGTCAAGGCAACTGGAGAAGTGAAAGGAGTGATAACAGAAACAGTAGCAGTTGAGGTATTGGTGCTGCCAGAACTTTCATCAGTTGGGCTCATGCACACATCTGTTGCGATGTTGAACGGATTCTCTTCATTTGTATCATCATCATGATCATCTACAAGGTTACTCATTGATTCTTCCCTGGCCTCATCAACCTTCTTTTTCTTCGCCTCTGACTCATGAAAGTCTGCAAAGGCATCACGCCTTAGCTGCAGCAAAAACATAAAATATCCTGGTTGATAAAATATATCGAGCACAAGACACCCTTGCTTTTGCTAAGATTATGTGTAGGATTCGAAACGATCACAAAGCTTGTATAAATCAATACTCAAAACTCCAGTGAACATGTTGATGATTCACTAAGGTATAGGTTTTAGCAGTTCAGTTTGCTTTCAGCACGGCAAAACCGCAATTAGACACGGACATTTTACACATAAATGCTTCCAAAAGAATAGGTTATTTACATCAGAAAAACTTACACATGTTAATGTTTATGATCGGAGATCACGAGAAAACGCTTACCTGTCGCCTTTTGCGATCTGTCAGAACTTCAGGACCTTCTGGTAGAACTGCATGTCTTGTTGGAACAGAGCCCTTGATAAGAACTTTGTTCCGTTTTATCTGCGTCATACCGTCCAGCGAAAATGCCAAGCTGCCCTCGTAACAACTTTGCTCAAAGTGAGCCGAACACAACGAGGCATGTTTGGCAACAGGTTCGCCGAAATCAACTCGGTGCCGCTGCACGAATTTCACCCATTGGGCTCTCACTGTTGGATTTACAGGAAACTGGTGCATCGAAATACCTGGTGTGTAGCTGGTACTCGTACAGCTTCTATTGTTGGGCGCCCCAGCCACACAATAACGTCCACCTTTCCGTACTGGCCTATTCTTTTCCGCCATAGACCACTTTCATAAATGGCTGCCGGATTAATATTCTTTTGTTTAAACTTAAATTTTCCCGAGTGGCCTCGCTTGAGATAATGTATTCTTGTGAATTTTGTACTGAAGAACGAGGCCACCCTGTCAAATTTATATGTATACAAAAGAATTGTAATGCGGCAGCCATTTATGAAAGTGGTCTACTGAGTCAAACAACCTGACGTCACAGGTAAAGTTCACGTGACCTTTTGGCCGCGCGTTCGAGGGGACAAATTTCAAGCCAACTTAGCGCGTAGTTTAAACGAAAACTATGTATTTATAATTATTTTCAACGATTTTTAACTCTCGAACCGTTTGTTATATATATCGAACTAGCAGAAAACAAAAACTTGTAGGAAAATGTAAGCTTGAGAAATGCCCTGCAGTTCATTATCAATTCCTAAACATAAATATTTTTTATTTGAATGTGTGTGTCATGGGGAGGTGAAAGGCAGGGTCCTGTAGTAATGTAGAGCATTCTTACACACCTTCCTATATAATTTTCATTGTGCTTTTACTCTAGGTTCATTAGAGCTGTTGCATACCGATGGACCACAAGGTGGCTTTGTGGCTACATGGGCTGGGATAACAGAAGACCACTACCAGCCTGTGTTTACCATAATATCAGAACTAAATACCAGTCACAAAAATTAATACCAGAGGTTTTGCTGCTGCTCATGACAGAGACTAGCATAGTACACGTAATCAAACCTATGACATGATTGTTCTACACTGATTGTCTCGGTAAACAACAATTTTCAAATTGATTTTCATGGGTGGTTGTTTCTTGTTCTATTGTTTGGTAATGTATGGACTGTGAACCAGAAACAGCTTAGGTTCTACATGCACACTAGTTTGACTAAATTTAAAATTTCAACTTGTTGTAGGTACAGTGCAAATATTGTAAGTCGATGAGTACAGTGCAATGCAGGCATGGAAAATTTAAAGTAAGAAGGAAAATTGTACCACGCAGAAAACCTTCCTGTGACAAAAGTTTGGTCACTTTATTTTTTGCAACGGCTTTTGTGACTTCGCAATGGTTTTTGTCATATTGAGCAATTGTAAGGTCGTCTTGAAGTGGGTTGACTGCTGCTTGAGGTATTGTCACTGATAGACATCTGTAGTTTCGCCTGCTCTGCTTCTGTAAAATAAATAAATTTATTTAATTATGTTAGTGCATTTTTAGTTTGTTTGTTTAGCATCCTTTTACTATGGAAAAAACATGTAGAAGATATCCTCCGTGGAGACAATCACATTGTGCATTACCATGATGGCAAACTTGTTCCCAAGGTCTATCTTTTCCCCAGTTCTAGTGGGTGGGAAGAAGATAGACCCTGAGGACAAGGTTGCATGACAGTTGGTACGTAGAACATTATGTCATATTTGAACATTGCGCTTCATGAGCTTTGAAGAGTCAAAGCAAACTAACCTGGTGGAAATAGTGACGTTTTCTTCGTTGCCTTTCTTGCCTGGTAAAACTTTACAGCATCCTCTTTATTTACTCTGTCTGGGAACTGCTGGTTGAGGGGTTCTGGTACCCTTGCTGCATACTTCTCATCTACTTTCTTCATTTCTGCCTTTGGCAAGGTGAAGAGAAGATTCTTCAGTGTGTCAACATACCCTGAAAAGATCACAGCCCAATTCATATAAAATGTCGACGTCATTTGAAAAACGTGCAACAGTGTTTTATCAGATATAAGGAAACAAGGTGAAGCAGAGTCCTTTACACAAGATGCTGGTCAATAGTACTTATCATGGTAAAAAGAGTGATCTGACTCTTAACAAAAGAGCATAACATTTCCTACACTTAGTTCAGTGTAGCCACTGTACTTTTAAAATCATAATGGTCAATAATTACCATAGCTAGGTGGAGATGCCACCTCTCTAACAACCTCTTCTCCCAGTTTAAATTTTGGATAAGTCACCCGAATGTATTCTTTTCCATCGCTTGATGTTTGGGTTTCTCTTCTGAGGTTTTCATTAAAATGCAAGCTTGCCAGTAT